GAATGCCTGAATCTTTACCCATTTGAATATTGCTTTTGAAGCGCTTATGAATGCATTTATGTCTCTTTATGTATTCTTAGTAGATACAGAAATGTATAGAAAATTTTAACTTTTGGCCCTTAATGTAAATGTATTATTTGTATAATTCTTATTTGTAAAATGTCACAACACTTCGGTGCTTCTAGTCAGTTTATCAGTTGTAAAGGATGTTAATTTGCACTCTTTGCTGCTGATTAATTTGGGGAGAGAAAAAGATAGTAAATATTTGTGCTTTGAAAATTGAATTTATTTCCCAGAATTTTTATGTGTAACAAATCAGTATGGAATCATACTTACTTGGCATATCAAAAATGTAGTATAGTTTGGTTTAAAAATGGTTCACAAAAAGTGACAAGCATTTTTTGGGGGTATTTTTTTTTTTTACTTGATACGGTTTTCTGAGTAGATGTTTTATTAAATTTATAATTGTTTAGTCCAGTATCAGTTGACTTTCAAAGCATGGTTTTGTGTTTTGTAAAAAGGATAAAGTGGATCAGGTTAATATTGCAAAAGAAAGAGTCTACATTCAAGTAGTTGCTTTTATTATACATTGCTTGTTCTGAAGATAAAATTTTGGCAAATCACTGCTTTATTGAGAATTTCAAGGTTTGACCTTTTCCCTGTTTTGATTTGGGTTATTTGAGTTATGTCCTAAAATGTTGGAACTAGGGCTGGCATGGCTTGGATCTTCACAAGGGTTCCCACACTAGTTTTAGTAATTTGTGGGTAAACTGGCATCGTGCAGTATGAAGGTGAATGGTAAAATATGTGTTAATTTATTTGAAATTTCATTTTTTCTTAGAAACAGCCCATAAACAGCATGACAAGTCAAGAAAGATGTAAGGAAGGAAAAAACTTTCTATTTTAATACCTTTAACATTTTTTTTCCTTGCTTCTGAACAAATGATGTTGCTAGCCCATTGTCAAGATGTTTTGAGATGTTTTGAGAGTGAATAACACTCAACTGTGAGGAGAATGAATCTTGAGTTTGGAGATGGATTAATTTATTAGTGTATATTTTCTCTGAATTGAAATGTTATAGGTCCTGTGGGTTTTTTTTTTTTTTTTTTTATTTGAAGAGCAGTGAAAGACAGTCATTGGTGAGGGAGTCTGGAATATTGGTGAGCCAGGAAGGCTCCGAAGTCAGGCAGACTCCAGCTCTATATCTTCCTAATAACTGTGCCCTTGGACAGGTTACTTAATCTGTGAGCTTTGATTTTTCTCTTTAAATCAGGAATAGCTATAGAATATGGAGGATTGTGAGGATTAAATGTTGAACAAGTGTTTAGTAAGCACTTACTTTGTGCCAAGCACTGTTCTTGGTGCTGGGGATACCACAGTGAAATGAAACAAAAAATATTTAAAGCAAAAAGCTAATAAATAGATAAAACAGGCCATCTACCTCACCATTCAATCTACTACAGAGAAGAAGCAGAGAAGGAAGATGGGGATTGTGTGAGCAATGCGGAAGATAGGGTTTTGAAATTTTAAAAGAAGGTGTTTGGGAAAGGACTGAGATGACACTAGAGTAAAGAAAAAGACCCAAAGGGACCTGTAGATATGTGGATAGAGTGATCCAGGTAGAGGGGACCCTTAAGGTAAGAGTGTGGCTGATTTTCAAGCAATAGCAGCAGTAAGAGGCAGAGTAAAAGGAAATTATTATTGTCATTTAAGAATCACTGGAGAGGCTCTTACAGGTCATCTCTGCCACGGGTACACATTGCATTGCTGCTGGTTCCAAATGTGGAAGACCATTTCAGAATTAGAAGTTTTAATTTGTCAGTGTGCGTGGTCCTGGGGATCAGACTCAGAGCCTTTCGCATGGTAGGCAAGTGCTCCACCACTGAGCTACACCCTTAGCCCAGAAATTGTAACTCTGGACTAAAGAAAGTAGGAAGGGCAAAATAGATTCTCAGTTTTCTCTCAAATATAAGATCTTAAAGCTCATCTGTCTGAATCAGTGAAATAAGTAAAAGCAGATAGAAAAATTATTCTTTGTCCTTGATAAAGATCTCTTCATTTAGTTCATGATTCTGCATCATGAACTTAAATGTTTGGAGAAAATCTGTATCATAACATCAAAACCTTTGAAAGATTTAATTTACTGGCATAATTTTTTGGAGAACTAAAATGCTAACATTGCAGGATTGGAGAATTCGTGTTAAAATGTGACTTAGAAGATTTGGGGTTTTATTCCCCAATAGAGGCTTTTCCTAGAATTCTCACTGGATCCAGTCTCTGAAGGCTAGGGAAGCTGTTTTCCATGACCTCACTCTTGGACTACTTCTACTTGTAGTGAGGAATAAGCAGAGGAGTAAGCAGAAGAGCATTAAATTATCCTTATGAAAAATAGCATTGAAGCAGTGGGTATTTTTCATATAAGTGTGCTATAGGGTGACTAAATGCTAAACATAACTGAAAAGTAAAATAATTAGTATACTAAGTGCCAGCCTAGAGTCTGGAGGACCCAGAGCCTTCTTACTAGTTCAGCTAAGTGGCCTTTTGCAGCTTGGTGTACTGAGTTACAGAAATATTTTGATGACAAGAAAGAATTTGCAATATTAAACAAAGTTAACTTATGCAGCCCATCCTCTTATATTAAACTGAGTTGATTCTCAGTTTGAGTGGTGTATCTATGAGGGTAAAATGTCTGCTAACAGGGTTGTCTGTTTTCAGGATTTTCTTTCACTTAATAAGCAGATTTTTTTGTTTTTGTTTTTGTTTTTTTTTTGTTACTGGGGTTCGAACTCAGGTCTCTGCTCTTGCAAGGCAGGCGGTGGAACCACTGAGCTAAATTCCTGGCCCAGGATTTTCTTTCGTTTAGATTGGTGCTTGAGAAGTTATCTTCTGCGATGATTGAATTTAAAATTACTTTATAGGTTACTGAAATTAAGCCTTGAGTTCTTTTTAATATGCAAGTCTGGACTTTTCTTTCTTTCTTTTTTTTTTTTTTTGCATAGGCATCAGTTTTGGTAGAACAGTTTGAGGATGAAGGTAGTATGAAGTCATTTAAACTTTTCATTGAAGATAAGCTTGTTAACCTGAAGAGCCTAGTTTTTGTACAGAATAGTTTAGAGTTTTTTAATGAGTTTTCAGGTAACAGGGAAGAATGTGAAAGCAATATTTATTTATTTATTTATTTGGTACTGGGGATCGAACTCAGGACCTTGTGCTTGCGAGGCAGGCAATAGAACCACTGAGCTAAATCCCTGGACCAATAAATCATTTCTTTTTTTGTTTTGTTTAATTTTTTTGGTAGTGGGGATCGAACTTGGGTCCTTAGGCTTGCCAGGCAGGTGGTGGAACCACTGCGCTAAATCCCCAGCCCAATAAATCATTTCTTATATCCTAAATATGAAGGTGAATTTTGAAACAGGTTCTTTTTAATTGCCAGAATTTTGCCTTCAAATAGGAATGGCAGCCTTCTAACTGAAAAGGAAGCATTTAATTTCTTTGCCTTTAATTTCCTGTCCGATTTTACCCCCACCAGACTTCTTTTTTTACTGGTCAATAGAAGGTTTAAACTGTTAGAAATTTCCATGATATAAATAGCAGTAGAAGTCTTCTGGGGCAGAGATAGGCAGAGGTTGGGTGGGGGTGGGTGTGATCACTTATTTCTTATTACACCTTCAGTGAGACTAAAGCCTTTTGGTCCCAAGACCTCTGTACTCATAAAAAAAAAATTATTGAGCCTAAAGAGCTTTGATTTACATGAATTGTATTGATTTATAGAAGTTGACACTAAAAACTTTAATTATTTGTAATTCATTCTGAAAACCAATGTATTAAATGGTTACTTAAGTCACATTTTTAGTAAAAATAACTTTTCTGAAACAAGAACTTGATGAGAAGAATAACATCATTTTATATTTTCAATTTTTTTTTTTTTTTTTGGTGACAGGGTCTCCCTATGCAGTTTAGGCTGGCCTTAAACTCATTATGTAACCCAGGCTGGCCTTGAACACATGGAAATTCTCCTTTTTCAGCTTCTTGAGTGCTAGGATTACCAGCGTGAACTGCCATGCCTAGTTTACAAATATTTTTAATGTATGAGTTAATAAAAGACAAACAGCTGCTCTTCAGCTTCTGCATTCACATTACTCAAAAACACCTGAAAATCACAGAGGTTAAAGGTGAAAGAGATAACTTTTTAAAAAATTACTGTGGAAATAGTAATTTTGTCATTGGAAAGTCCTTTTGGAGGTACTATGACCCTCAGTTCTCTCTCTACTAACTGTGCACAAAAATAGAGTTTTTGCAAGTGCTTCTCCCACTGAGCCATGTCCGCAACGTTTTAAAAAAGTATCAGTGCCAAGTTGATGTTTTTTTTTTTTTTGGTACCAGGGATTGAACTCGGGTCCTTGCGCTTGCAAGGTAGGCCACCAAACCGCTGAGCTAAATCCCCGGCCCAGTGTCAAGTTGATGAAACAAGATACACTTCAGTATTTCTTTCTTAGTAGTATAAATATGCCTTGTAATTTGATCTAATACAGGTTCATGTACCTTTCGGGAAAAAAAAATCTACCATTTGAAATTCTGGAGGCCAAGGATGAAGTATACACACACACACACTCACACACGTGTGATGAGCCATCTTGAGAAGTGAGGATACAGAGTTTCTAAATATTGAACATTGGATATCAGCAACTATTTTTTCAAAAGCTTCTCAATGGATTTTTCCTAGCCCTCATTGTTTCATAGAATTTGAAGTTTATGTTTTGCAATGTAAAGTTTTGTAATTATTAATTTCTTCAAGTTGGTGTAATTCTAAATTAAGAAAATTCTTATGTATAAGGTTTTATATATTTTTCTTTTTGTGGTCTTCTTACATTATCTTTTTTCTAGTTTTTTTTTTCCTAGTTATTTTTATTTACTTATATGTATGTTTTTGTGTTGTGGTTGGTTTTGTTGTATTTTAAACCTCATTCCATCTAAGTCCTTTTTTTTTCTTTTCTTTGTAGCATCCAGGGTATGGATTGTGAACAAGTTGGTTTTGTTTCACATGTTCATTTGTAAGTTTGGTTGTTTGATGCCTTAAACATTGATGTTCTAGATTGTGCTGTCCAGTAGATTTTAATGCAAGCCACGTATGTAATTTTAAGTTTTCTCATAGCTACAATTAAAAAAATAAAAACAGGTGAGATTAATTTTAATATACTTTATTTGACCTATAAAATTATTTCCAAAATATTTCAACATATAATCAATATAAAATTTATGAGATAGTTATATGTTCTTTTTTGTACAAAGCCTTCAAAATCTGGTGTTTATTTTATACTTTAAGCACATTTCAATTTGCACACCAGCCTCATCCCTAGTGATCTAGAGCCTCGTGGCTAGTGGCTTTTAAAATGACATAAATAATAGAGTAATTCTGGTTAGGGTAAAAAAACCTAAGGAGTCCATAAGTAAAGCTAAAAAATTATACTTGCATAATGAGAAACAATGGAGAACAATGCCATCACAAGACAGTGTCCAGAGTTTTGGACTGTGAGTACATCTCTGGATCACATATACACCTGCACTGTGAGATACCCCCAGGGAGGTGTGGGATGTGTGCAGAAGAGATGGAAGGGTGTCAAGTCCCTCTGGGCTTGTGGGTGTTAAGGAGCATTAGGTAGAAGTTGGATGAAAGAGCCAGCATTGATTGACCTCTGGAGGGGTTCCTTTCTCTGGGCCAGATATTTAACTTTAATTCAGTCATCACCCAACTTGGTAAAATTAGTTTTTAGTTAGTCCTAGTATATGAGTGGAAACCAAGATCAGGAAGTTAAAATTTCTCAGAGTCACACATGGTAAATAC